AATAAGTACAAAAAAAAAAAAAAACACTTTTCATACAGACCATAGCTTTGCTCTAATAGTACACGTCACAAAATTGGGTGTATGACCGTACTGATCTTTTAAAAGGAAACCTGACCCGAAATGGGGATGCCATTTCTGACCACCTTCTGAAAACGCCACTTGGCTGTCTCCGGCGTCAATACTTTTTTGGTCACCAACCAGGGACAAGCATGCAAATCAGAAAAAGGAGGTCAGCACTCCCAATCTCTGGTCAGTGACTCGCAGCATTGAAGTCCATTGGGCCAGCGTGACAGGGATCTAGAGTTTTTAAAAGGGGAGGCCAGCTGCTGGTTAAGGCAGAATTGTGCCAGACCACCTTAAGTACACCAATTCAACAGCAAAGCAGCTTTGGACATTTTGTAAGACAGTGGTGACTATTGGTAGATCTAGGGGGCCTCAGCTGTGGTCCTGGACATTACCAAGGGGTCGCACATAACATTCAATATACAAAATGCTACAAAAGACTGTCAGAGACATGTCACAGGTATGGATGGAGACTGAAGGTGACACTCAAGAGACTGGTAACACGATACATGAGACTGCTAGAGATCACTGCCATTACAGCTTCTTTACTAATCAACATGCTCACTCATACCTGCTGGGGTTTGGGGGCCACAAAGTAGGTACCACATAACATTCAGTATATGTAATGCCACAGACAATTCTCAGAGACTGCAGACAATATACAAGAAATGCTATAAGTTTTGTTGGAGACTGGAGACATACTATATGAGACAGTCAGAGACTGGCAACCGGTTACACAAAACTGCTAGAGATCACAGATATTTCAGCTGCTTCACAAATCAACAGTCCCGCTTTTGGCTGTTGGACAGTGCTGCAACAAGATCTTATAGCACACAAGACAAAAAGCCTAAAGTGCCCCCCTCCCCCTCCTTCCCCAATATGAGATGTGAATTTCATAGGCTGTAGGTCTTGCCTTTTTGCACCCTCCTCCTGTTGAAGCGCCCAACGTGGCTGCCCCTTCTGCCTACCCCTCGGCCAGGCCCTGCTGCTGGGGCTTGAGAGCAGCACCATTGCCACACAATATGCAGTAAGACTTTCAGAGACTTGAAACATACTACAGGAGATGTTCAGAGGGTCGCAGGTTGAGCACCGGGGCTTTAGAGATTGGCCAGCTATGCATTAGCTCTGAGGCAAAAATAGCCGAATACAAACGGGACCCAGTTTGAGCACCGGGGCTTTAGAGATTGGCCAGCTATGCATTAGCTCTGAGGCAAAAATAGCCGAATACAAACGGGACCCAGAAAAGTGGCTGCGTACACAAGCCCCAACAGCGTTCAAAGCCAACAATGCACCAATCTTCCCCACAGCATGCACTCTACAAATACGTACGGCTCACTACATTGTGCCCTTCTCCCTGGGGCCTGGAGAGAGCTCACTGACCTGCAGGGTAAAGGAAGAAGAGTGATGGTGGGAGCTAGTCAGCTGAAAGGCAGAGCTGATCCTTTATACTTGGTCTGTCTTGCTTCTGCTCTGCCAGACCATTCCTAGACACTGGCAGCGCACAGTCTGGCTCTAGAAATCTCAACTGCAGCTTCTCACACAAGGCTAGCATTGTCACCCAATGTCCTCCCACTGGGCAGAGCCCAGGAACACGTGGCCCAAGCTGCAGAGAGCCGTTGACCCCACTCTGCTGTTGTCACCCCCTTCTCCTCCACCCCGGCCTGTGACTCACCAGTGCAGCAAGTGACAGCAACACGCCATTAGTCCATAAGCGCTGTGGGAAGCTCAAACAAAAAAAAACCCCACACACATGGATATCTGTAGGCAAATAGTCCGGTCTGTGTTTAGAAGTAATTATGGGAGGCATCCGTCTGTGAGCCAAATTCTCCTCTGTCTGCACAGCAAGCAGCTGCACGAAAACCTCCGCCCAACAGAGTCGGAGGAGCTCCAGTGACTCATAATGGAAACCTGCTAACGGAAAAAAAAGTGGGGAATTCATGAAGAGTGTTGTAGATGCTCTGTAGACGTCTGTCTGTCGGTAGTGTGACAAATGTCGGCGCGTGCGTCAGATTTATGTACTATTTCAATCTGTCGCAAGAAAATTGTCTCAGGCAGTACACCTGAGAAGTGGCGGACTTTCACAAATGGAAAATCTCAGAGAGTGGATGTCAAATTGTTAATAATGATAAATACAGTGGTACCTCGGCTCACATACGCTTCTGTTCGGGAACAATTCGGTTCGTGAACAGGAAGTTCGGCACAATTTTGCTTCTGTTCGCGAACTCCGCATCGGGTGATGAACACAACCGCAGCCATTTTTCCTGCGCTGACACATGGTCATGGCTTACTCTAGTCGAGATCGCGGTCTGATCAGTTTGATTCGTTTCGCGACCAGAACCGTGGAATGAATTAAGTTCATGAACCGAGGTACCACTGTATTAGGGATGTTCAGATACCAGTGCCGATAATTGGCATTTTCACGAGAACTACCAGGGTTGCAGCGGTTGCAGCTGGGACCTGGCTCTGGCGCTCCACCACTGTCCTGAAATCATTAGTCTGTATGGTTTTAGAAAAACTGTCACATGACAATAACCAAAATTGTATCATTACTTGGTCTGGAAAAAATAGTATCAGTGCATCCCTAATATATAACAAATCATACATTAAAACAGGGATGCACAAATCGCAGGAGCTCCGGATGCTCCTTACAAATGACAGCTGCCTCCTAACTTTTGAGTTTTTCTCTAGTCTTGGAGCCGGCAAAGTATCTGTACTTGTAACGAGTACGGTACTTGGTATCGGTGCATCCCTAATAAATATTATATATTCATTTATTATTAAAAGGAGAACTATGAGGTGAGTGAAAAATCACTCACCTCATAGTTCGAGCCGACCTGTGACAATGAGACTGTCACACGTAGGCTCAGTAGATCGGGATGTGAGGGAACACATACCGTCGCTCACTCACTTCTCGATCCTGTCCATGCAGAGAGCCGTG